ATTATCAAATGTACCAAATTGTAGGGTATTGAATTATAAATTTAGATATGACAATAAGGATGATTTCTCTCCTATGTCATGGTTCAGAAGCTCGGGGCATAACGGCGATTATACCAGTTTTAAGGTACGTGTTTTCTAAAAATTATTTGGATGTGAAGCGTCATATTAATTCATCTTGTTAAGGCTGAAGTATCCTGGTCGTTTTGGGAATCATTTTGTCACGAAAGGTCGAATCAACTTGTCTACTTATAACAAATCAAATAATTCGAAGATAAAATTAGTAAGATGTCAAACTATCAAAAGAGGTGACCTAGAGAATCTCACGTAAGTTTTATATTTAGTAATGTATATGTGGTAACTAATATTAAGTATTAGTTGTATGTATTTCATATATTTATTAGATTGTATCTGCGTCAAAAAATTAGGCTGCATTGTGTTGATATCAAGGATACCCCTCCAGAAATGACTGCAAAAGGAGCATATCTGACGATAAAAGATAGGAAGACCAATAATACTTTAGTGAGTTGATTATATAAGATCCGTTATATATTCTAACAGTCTGTGTGCAATTGTATTACATAAGTTGAACGAAAAATATGTAGTGAATAGTTTCAGAAATTCAAATCCACTATCCTCGCTATAACCCTAGGCTGGGATTACAATGATTGGCATGGAACCGCAATAAAGAATCTGTTGACAGCTTCCGAAATGCAGAACTATAAGGTAGGACAACAATATAATGTATTGTATTTAACATTAATCAAGTATTCGTATTAAGGAAGGTAAAATAAAGTGGAGCTCCTTGAAAATAGAGAAATCTACTGCAAGGCGTGGTAGAGTCTGTTGCACTAAGGAGATCATCACTTGCATATGAGGTCAGTTGTTTAAATTAATTAATGTTATAAGTTTGAAAAGTATTGGAGTGAATATATTGTATTTTAGGATGAAAAGAATGGAAGGAAAAGAGAAGTAGAAAAGAAAACAGAGCCAATTCAAATCAAGAAGCCTCGTACTGAAGCAGTAGATGTGGAAGTCACGAATGAAATGGTTAGCTAAGAGAGAAGATGATAGATGTTGTTCTTATGGTTTTAATATGCTATCCGTTCCGTTTTTTGACATTTTTATATACCATGTAATATCTAACTAGAAATCACCATGTTATCAGTTGAAAAGGATCGGATTTTTATAAAATGAATGTTTTTTTGGATGTTAAGAGAAACAGAGAACAAGATGACAGTCGTCAGTGGACGACAACAAAAGGAAAGCGTCAGTGGACGCTATGGACCCAAGGGTCCAGTCACCACGGGTGACATATTAGACAGGAGAAGAGTAAGAGATGAAAGTTTAAAAGTTAGTATCCATCTAGTAATAAGGAATAATAATTAGATACCCGACGAACGGAGCTAGTATAACACTTACTCGGGTTTCCCTCGTAGATAAGTGTTAACTAGCCATTTACCAATAAAAGTACAATAGTATCAGAATCTTAAAGTAAAACTAGAAGAGAATCGAGACAAAACAATTCGTTTCACCTCTACATCATACGAATTGTTTGTATGAGTCAATCCCAGATTCTTCAGGTATTAGATTCGACCCACAAAAGGTTTTAACTCAACAGTCGAATTCTGCGCTACGAAAGTAAAAGGTATAAAAAACTTCATATTAAATGAATAATTTAAACAAGAAAACGTGGAGTAGGTATAGTCCGAATTGCAACAAAAGGAATAGGAGTTGCAAATGATACTCAGTCACAGGCGGTACAAACGGCAAGTAGAGCGTGATAACTACAAGAAGAATAGACCAATGTAGGGAAAATGTGATATATAGATAAGTCGACTCCAAGTGAGAAGATGTTGATCAAATAAACACAATTTACTAACAAGCGAATAAGAATAATAGCTTGACTAAGCTATATAAATTTTCAGAACATATCATCTATTAACCGTTTTATGTTATTAAAACTATGTTAAAGAGTATTTATACCCTATGTATTTATTTTTATAGAGGCATTTAAGGATGCTTGCAACTATAAATTCTTTGTAGTAACCATTATCTATAAGAGTTGTTCCATGAGCCAGTTAGTTTTCTTTGAATCTATGAAAGTTGAGCAAGTGTTGGCTATCCTAAGAGTTTCTGTGTATATAACTGCGGCTTTACAATTATTTGAAATATTTGTAAGTTCATGTGGAAATCTGATTACTTAAAATCAAAGTCATCGTTTTGTTCGTACATTTGTTAGTATACCCTCATTAGTTACATTATCTCAGGTCGAGATACATTCCATATTTAATTACGTTGTTCTCTTAATCCAGTTTATTATACTGTGTGGAGTATTTTCAACTATTCCTATCTTGCATTCATAATTATTGTATAATTAACAAATCACCATATATCTCATAAGGACTAAACACATTTCTCTACGATCATACAAACTTCTAGCGAATGATATTCCATGACAACATGTAGATCCGCTAGAAGAGGGCTAAAATTTCCTCCCTGTGGTACTCCTTTGTTTTGCTTATAAATGCTACTACCAAACAGACAAAAGCTGTTTCTTAGCAAGTAGTCCGTAAAATAAATGAGGTCCCCTCTATCGTAATATCTAAAACCTTTTTGTATTGTTCACCAGTGTTAATATACAAGAAACCATTGGTGCTGAATGACTCTGCTGGCAGTTAGTGAAACAAATGTTGAGCAGTGCCTGTATGTTGTTAAGTATCAGCTTGTGTTCTAAATTAGTAAACATGTCCGTAAAGTCTGCAACATATAATTTACGATTGCTTGTGTGTAATTAGTGAGCTCTTGTCCATATATGATGTTCATTTATACGACTTTGATGGGATTTCTCAACTGCTGTCACATTGGCAAAAGTGTGCTGATTCGAATGGTGCCTATTTCGATTAAATCCGATGAGTATTAAAAAAGTTACGATCGTTTAAAGTGAAACACCCAAAACGCTGAGAACTTTCCGGACAACCTATAGCTAGATAAGATCATTTTCTTAGGCAATCAGAAGATGGCTTAAAGGAAAAGTATGCACACTGAGCCTTTGATACTTGGGGTATAGTGATAAGAGAGGTAATGATAATGGCTCCTTATCCTTTCTTATCAATTGATAAGATCCTGTCACCCGTCATCAATGTCCCTATCACTAAAATTCTGTAATTTGGTAGTGTAAAGGCTCAGCAATTTGACTAAACCTTATCCTTATCCTTATCAGCCCTATCACTTTATCACTCGTTCTGCCCCATCTTCAACACTGTTATCATTTCTGAATATGCCTAGGTCATGCTTGTCGCGGATGCTGTATGCTCAACCTTACCATTCTAACTCCCCTTATCAAATCCTATCAGCTGCTATCATTCCCTGTCACCCATCAATAATGTTCCTGTCCCACGTCCTATATCATACCTTGGAACCAATGTCCCACTGTTACTGTGTCCCGCACTATGGGCTCGGTCACCCTCCCTTTCTAAGGCCCTTATCGAATCTTATCAGGTGCTATCACATTCTATCACCCACCAAAAGTGTTCCCGTCCTGCCAGGATATCACTTCTTAACGTCTTCCTATCTTTCCTACGACGCTCGCTATGAATTTCGTGACAGACAGACGGACGCACACACACACACACACACACACTTACAGACATACTTAGCGGATTATATATAGTAGGATAGTAGACTTTCACCTTCACTTCCGGTGCAAAGCACACCTGAAGCTCAGTGCCAAAAACTCACATCAGAATGTGATTCCTAAACTGGGAATTTCTTCACTTTTCTGCTTATGAACTCGTGGTAGTCCGTCTCTGCCATATCTATTTCCGCATTCACTTATCTTCGAATGGTCCAAGATATGCTGTCTTCTGAAAAATAAATAAAATAATAGTTAAAAATTGTCTCAGACAAATGCTCTACTTCGACATCGCGCGTTCAAACAAAAAAAAATCCCGAAGTAGACTAAGAGTTCCACGTCGATACAAAATGTCCAGCTCTTTCCTGATAAGCAGGATGTCCTGACCTACATAGTATTGTTCGCTGTGGATGCCAGGCGTGTTGGAGGCTGGCTTGGTGTGCGCAGCAGTTATTTCACCAGTTGTTGTCGCTTCCTTGTTTTAGCAACTGATGGAGAACAGCGCTGCGCCTAACCCAGCACCGAGACACGCCTCAGCACCCGCAGTGACACAAGACTGCGCTGGTTGGCGCCCACCAACTTGTGACAAATAATCGGAAAGAAATGATCACAGCACCACGAATTTCTTCCTTGGGATCTCTTGACTGAATACCAGTTAATCCCTTCCAGAAGATGACCATAAAATAGCATGAGACTATAGCAACAGAAGTCAACACGATAAAGCCAATGCGTACTCTGTGAGGTTTCCTTCTTGACTTCTGCAAATTCGTCACGACTTTGTGGTCTCAGCGGCTTTCAGACACTACACTCGGCGCTAATAGTTTCGAAGGGAGGGGGGACATTTAAAGGGTTTCGTGTGCAAAAGGGACTACGGTCATCCAGATAGAAATACCATCATTACAGACATTGTATACCCTTACCTGTGAGGACACCTTGCTATGGGCAGATGAATGGGTGTGCAGCTGCAGTAGCGTGCCGTTCTCGGCTCAAGAGTGCATTGGAACGGGATTATAGTAAACTGGTACCCAAATACATCTCCATACTCTGCCCGCGCTATCCTCAGGTGAAGCGGCCGAGGTCCCACAGCGAATGCGAATGGTAGAGAGCAACCGAAGAGAGAGAGAACGACCATAGGCGCTGAGCAGCGCATTCGGCGATGATTAGGCTGGCTGTACGGCTGCGAAGGCGGTGCATGGGGACGGCAGCCAGGTATCACAACCCCATCCTCGTTCCCGTGCACTTTTGGGCAGAAAAATGGGAGTAACGTGCTTGTAAGAACGCTCAAACGCACCCCTGTAGCCTATCTCCGAAAAAGCTTAGGCTCAGAGGTAGGCGACCAAAGACATAGCCTCGAAGAGAACACCATATTCTCAGCTAAGCCTAAACCACCTCAGGGGGAAGGATACAGAGCCGTTGGTGAATGGTCCCGTCATCCCTTCCCATTCAAGTTAGCGCCGACGGTGGCACGTTTCTGAAGCTGTAGGCCCATCCACCTCACACATGGCAAAGACCAGGGCTTAATGAATTGTACGGTTAGTCTTGCAGGGTTCACTAACCCTGAGGTTCTCCCGGTTTTTTTCTTTTTGTCAAAGCAAGAGTCATCATCGTTATTGCGGGAAGCTTTGTAAGAAGGAGCTCTTTGAAGTCCCTCTCCCATGGTTATTAGCGTTGGGTATTCTTTGAGAATCATCATAGCACACCTACCCTTCTTCTCTTGGACCACCCATACATCAGTCTGTATACAAAACATATGATAATCAATGCACAAGTAAGCACCAAGCCAAAAAGTACCAGTAGCAAGACATACTGCAACGCTTAGGTTTCTGAATACCCTTGTGTATACCGAAGTAAGTTCACCAATTTAGTTGAGAATTAGAAAAAAGGATTGATTTGGGGGGGGGAGGCAATCGGAAGGAGAGCTATCTCAGCTCCCGTCCAAGGGGAAACGAAAGGTGAGTAGAAGCATAGCCCTCAGCCTGAGACGTCTAATTTACGCACCTAGTTTACTACTTTGCCGCTAAGTATCTCAGTCAGTGACGATACTTCTTGTAGGAGCAAGTTGTTGGCATACATACTGCTTTTATTTGATTTTCACCAGACTTATTTCGGTATTTGTTATCTCATTTACTTTTTTTCAGCAATTTTTTGGGGTGGGGGGGACGTGGGTCGTCAACTTGAGTCTTTTGTAAGGGATTGTAGGATGATGTACGAAGAAAATCCTTTGCCAGCTTACAATGCTGACCAAAGATACCTATTCTCACATAGTAGTAAGTGAGTCGCCGAATCACCAATTAGCATTGATAACATCCTGAACTCATAAAATTCAAGGAAGTCCGAGGGATAAATAGTTCATCGGCTTCACATGCAAGAAATGGCCCTTCTCATGACAAAGGAGTGACAAAGAAAACAGTGGTTTTCCGTGAGC